TTGATAGCTAAATTTGAATCATTATTTCACATGTTGTGCCTGCTTTCCTCAGGTTTTGTGAAGACTGAGCTTTACAATCTTGGCAAAACTAGAAAAATCTTTTCAGACTGTTCACCACGCTTTTGTATCCATTATCTAAAAAATATTTTTCTAAAGTGCTTTTTGAAAAGAAATGGTGATCCTTGGGAGGAAAAAGGTCCACAGGTTTGCCATTAGAAAAACAGATGAGAACTAAGGAAAATAATTTGCCCCTGCCACCTGTCTGCTGAGAATATGTGAGTGAAAGTTATTTTGAAGAACAAGTGCTCACACTTTGAACTGTGCAAGGGTTAAAAAGTCTTAAGTGGATATGCCGTTTGTTGATTTAAAGCTCTTTGTAAATGATTGTTGGAAACTTCTCAGGTGTAACAATGTGTTCAGAAAGCATATCACAAGTACTGCTTGCATTTAAGTAGGGTTTTTATCTATCACCATCGGCAGCCTGATTTAAATTCCCAGAGGAACAGATAATTCATTGAATTGTCTGTCATGGAAAATGGGGAGCTTAGCAATGCACATGAAAAAACGGAGGAAGATAGGTTTTATGAAAATCCAAATTTAGAGGAAGGAGAATGTGAACAAGTCTCTAATCAGAGCAGTGGAGATTCACCTTCTCCTTGTTTAATTGCCATGCTAGACAACATGGACATTAGATGTGAGAACAGCATAGAATTTAGCCAGCAAAACTCTTGTTCCTCTCAGCATGGCTCTGACAGGGGGGAAGAAACAGATTCTCCACAAGATGGTCTTGAAGACAATCAATACAAAGATAGAGAGGACAGAGCATTTGAAAGGGCAATGACTATGGAGGACATTTTCAAAACTTCAAGAAATACCGTCAGATTTCCCTTCAGCCATAATTCAGAAGAAAACAACAATTTTCCAAAAGAAGAACATAAGATTTTCCTTCTTGTTAAGGTAAGTTTTTTTTCCCTAGGCATGAATACAGTTATGTAGTCTCAGACATAACATAACTTTCCCCTAACATTTGGAGAAAAGCAATATTATAAGATTATAATTTTACTTTTCTGGTTGGTGGAGAATTAATCTACATTTTTGCATGTTCTTTCCACTTCAGTCAAATAAAAAATATTGCGTGTCTCATCCTTATCCAGTATCAAAATGGATACAGCAGTTGCCCATAGCTAATGAAAACTGCAATCCCATATCTGCTTTTCAGGGAATAAGATTCACTGAGGAAGCATGCAGTAATTTGTGGAAAATATTTTTGAATATTTTGCTGATTTATTTAAGATACTTTCAGAATGTTAGAAATTTGTGATATTTATACAAGCTTCATACGCATACTTTCAGGTCATTGTTGTGCTTTATCATAGCCTTTTCCTTGCCTGAGTTTGTTGAGAAAAGCATATACTTTATAGTGCTTAAGCCAATCTAGTACTTTCTCCAACACTGTATGGAAAGAGAGGATGTTGTGAATATCAGTTTTCCCATTTATTCTCTGAGTAGAAACAGCTTTGTTGCCATTCATTTTTGTGCTTGACTTGAGCAAGGGGTTGGACTAGAAGACTTTTAAGTGTTTCATTTATAGCAATTAACAAGTCATTGTTTTTTTTCAGATTATTTCTCTTTAAACAGTGTAAGGATTGGAGGGACACAATATTAATATTATTAGCAAAGATATTTAGCAGCACAGTTTATTCCTGGTTACTTTGGAATAATTATGAGATAAGATTCCATTCTGTACCTAGACAGTCCTCTGTCATACCAGTTCATTATTCAGAGACTGTTTGCAGATACTAGAAGACTAACAAATAGTTTCTGGGTGCTTGAGACAAGTTTGAACTTGCTAAACATAAACAAAGGTTTCCATGGGTTATGTTTTATATACAAAATGAAATGGCTTCACAAATTAGAGTCTCTGCTCAAAGATCATATATCCATAAATTCATGAATAGCTAGAAGACACCTACTCCAATGTTTATTATGTAAAATAAGTTAACAATAACTCATTGAACAAAACATTTTGCATATTATATGGTGGTATCATATTATTAATGATTGATTATTCAATTGTTCAAGGAGAAATAACTTTCATATTCCACTTACGAATATAACAAACAATAGAAGAACGTGCTTTCTAGTTTTTTACTCTGTTTCTGGTGCATATAATTCCCTCTTCTACTCTAGCAGGAGTTAATGTATTTTACAGGCCAGGCTACATATCGACTAAGCTTTTCAGAGATTGCTGAAGTAGAGCTTATCAGAGGCTCCTATATGCAATTAGAATAGAATAGAGCTGGAAGGGACCTTGGAGGTCTTCTAGTCCAGCCCCCTGCTCAAGCAGGAGAATCTATACTGTCTCAGATAGATGAATGTCCAATCTGTTCTTAAAAATCTCCAGTGATGGAGCGCCCACGATTTCTGGGGGCAAGCTATTCCACTTGTTAATTGTCCTCACTGTCAGGAAGTTTCTCCTTAATTCCAGGTTGCTTCTCTCTTTAATCAGTTTCCAACCATTGTGTCTCATCCTTCCCTCTGGTGCTTTGGTGAATAATGTGACCCCCTCTTCTTTGTGGCAGCCCCTCAAATACTGGAATAGTGCTATGTCTCCCCTATTTTTTCTTTTCTTTAGACTAGCCAAACCCAAGTCCCATAGCCGTTCTTCGTATGTTTAGTCTCCAGGTCTTTGATCATCTTAGTTGCTCTTCTCTGAATTTTTTCCAAACTCTCAACATCCTTTTTGTGATAAGGTGACCAAAATTGGCTACAGTATTCCAGGTGTGGTCTTACTAGGGTTTTATAAACCGGTAATAATACTTTGCGTCATCTTGATTCTATGCCTTTGTTTATACAACCCAGGATTGTATTAGTTTTTTTGGTTGCTGCTGCATACTGCTGGCTCATAGTCAAGCGATCGTCCACTAGGACTCCAAGGTCCCTCTCACAGTTACTATTTTTAAGCCAGGTCTCGCCCAATCTGAATTTGTACCTTTGATTTTTCCTGCCTTTACTTTTCTCCACACTGAAACTCATTTTGTTGGATAGAGCTCATTGTTCAAGTTTGTCAAGATCTTTTTGGATCCTGAGTTTGTCTTCTGGGGTGTTGGCTACTCCTGTCAGTTTGGTGTCATCTGCAAATTTGATGAGTTTCCCTTCAATTCCCTCATCTAAGTCATTTATGAAGATATTGAAGAGTACTGGGCCTGAGACGGAACCTTGTAGTAATCCACTGCTTACTTCTCTCCATGTGGATGTAGTGCCATTGAGGATTACTTGTTGAGTACGGTTTGTTAGCCAGCTACAGATACATCTGGTAGTGATGTTGTGTATTCCATCTTTTCCTAGCTTACCAAGGAGTAGGTCGTGGTCTACCTTGTCAAATGCCTTACTGAAATCTAAGTATACTACATCCACTGCATTTCACTTGTTTATTAGTTTAGTCACTTTATCGAAGAATGAGATGAGATTGGTTTTTTAACAAATCCATGCTGGCTACTAGTTATGACTTTGTTTGCTTCTAGTTGTTTGCAGATCTGTTGTTTGATTATCTTTTCTAGGATCTTCCCAGGTATTGATGTTAAACTGATTGGTCTGTAGTTTCCTGGGTCCGTTTTTTCCCTTTCTTGAAGATGGGGACCACATCAGCCATTTTCCAATCCTTAGGTACTTCCCAGGTGCTCCAGGATTTATGAAAGATGTGGTGCAGCGGTTCTGAGATAACATCGGCCAGGTCCGTCAGAACTCTGGGATGTAGACTGTCGGGTCCGTGTGATTTGTATTTGTCAAGGTTGGATAGGTGTTCCCTTACCATTTTCTTGCTTATTTTAATTTTTATTTCTAGTATGTCTTTTGCAGTGGTTTTTTTGGTGTGTTGGGCTATAGTTTCTTTTTGTGTGAAGACTGACACGAAGTATGAGTTAAGCAGCTCTGCTTTCTCCCTGTTGCCTGTAATTTCCTTGCCATCTTCTCTCTTTAGTGGGCCTACAGTTTCATTGATTTTTTTCTTCTTGTTAATGTATTGGAATTATTAGACAGGGGTAGGAGGTCAGGAAGAGACAATGCCAACATCTTGCAGGTGTATTGACTATTGATAATTGGCTTCTGGCCAGATTATCCCCAACCTGCTCCCATCATGCAGGAGGCATTGCTGTCTGCCTGTGTGCTTTTTGAAATGGCTTTTTGGTTGGAGAGCTGGTCGCCACTGGTCATCTCAGCCCCCTCAAGGGTCTTGCCCTTAGCCCGTGGATAGGGTGCATTTCCTTCGCACACCTCAGTACCTACTGCAGCCGGTAGGTACTGGTATAATTTTAATTTGAAACAAAGGTTAATTTAAGAAATTATATTATATCATAACATTAATATGAAATGAAGTAATTACCATGACTTCATGGTTTCAGTAGGAAGATATCAGTAGGCTTAATTTGAAAGGAGATGGTACATATTGAAGAAATTCTTTACAAGCAGGGACTATAAAGTTAGAGTCATTTAAGACTACTGATAGGAAATAGCAACTTTCTGAATCTGTAGCTTGGTTCTTGGCTGTAGAGGCCTTTCCGGAAGGCCTCTGACAACAAAATAAAGGCCGGGGTTGTCGTGCACGTCAATCTGGAGCTCTATTCTCAGCTGCAGAGGCATTTCCTGAAGGCCTCTGATGGCGAAATGGAGGCTGGGGTCGACATGCACAAGTGATGGCAAGTGGCTGCAGAAGAAGTGGGCAGGCTGGGCGGGGCTGTTGATGCTGCCACAGCGAGGTGAGACTGTGAAGAAAACACACACACCCTGAAAAAAAGACCTGGTGCATTTTTTGGAGACACACACACAAAAAAAGACCAGGTCTTATTTTGGGGGAAACATGGTATTACTATTCTTCTTCTCATCTTTCCTATTACTTATCTCCTTATCTCCTTATGACTATACCTTTGTTGCTTGTATCTTACAATTTATATTGTTTTATTTAGTATCCTAGTATAATTTATGTTGATTGCTTATTGAGTATCCTATGACTATCACTAAGTATTGTATCTTATGATTTATGATGAATGTATTTTTATGATGACTATGATCATGATTTATCACTTATTGCTTTTATATGCACTGAGAGCTTATGCACCAGAGACAAATTCCTTGTATGTCCAATTACACTTAGCCAATAAAGAATTTTATTTCTATTTTCAGTAAAGAATTCTATTGCTTCAAATTATTTAACATTACACCAACTTGAACTACCAAAATTCTGGGCATTAACATGAAGCCTATGGAGAATCACAACTTTTATTTTGAGCAAGCTTCTTTCTATTTATTTTGAATGGACTCATACATTATCTTATTTTTAATACAATTATTCAGTTTATTTTCCAAGCCAATTCAGTCTTACATATCTCTCCCATTATAGCCTCTCCTTATCCAAAAAGCCATTTACACTCATTTCCTTTAAAGCAAGGTATACAACCTTTCTCCTGTTAAGAGCCATGCTAGGTTTAATGTGGCATGTTAAAATTTAAGTTAAAGTTGGCAAGTAGAAAATATCTATGGATGCACTTTATATATAATTAAGCTTCAATAGTACTTTGGAATTAATTGATTATTTTTCATATTTATTTGAAATGCTTTAGGGTTTTTCTATGTGTGATTCAGAACCATTACCAGTTAAGGAGGGTCAGATAGACAATGATCTTTCTATTTATCTAGTTTGTTCAGGATTGCATCATCATCTCCTCTGGGATTTCTTGGAAGCAAATTACTTCTAGTTACTACTCCAAGGTTTACATTATTTAATAATATACGCTAAGAAATAGACATTTCTAGCTTTGGCTTCAGTTCCTTTTTGAGTTTGGCCGGTCAGTAAGTTAGAACAGGGATCCCCAACCCCCGGTCCGTGGACTGGCACCAGTCCGCGGCATACCAGAAATCAGTCTGTGCAAACAAGCGAAATCCCATCCGTAGGATGCAGGCAG